AGTGGGGCTGCCCAACTTCTGGCACACGTCAGATATGTTGATGCTGACTAGAAACTGACCATGATCAAATTCGAAAATCGGACAGCCCTGGCGAATATTACTCGATTATACGCCGCACCCCCCCCCCCCCCCCCCCCCCCCCCGCGGGAGAGAAAAAAAAGTATTTTCGCAAAGCTTGCATTTTACTTCATTTGCACTTGTCACTTCTCTTCTTTGAACGTGGCGCTTTGTTCATCTTTAGTTGTGTTGTTCTCACTGTTCTGTATATCGCCAATTGCACGTGTGACGGAGAGAGGGGGGGGGGGGGGTCGGTGTGTAGCAGGCTGCAGCAGGCAGCAGCAGTCTGCACTCTTCCTCTAAGTTTACAGTAAAACAAACTGGTGGTGTGACCAATGGCCATTTACAATTATTAATACTATTACTATTAGCATTATACTATATAGACTCAGCCCTGTCGTGCTCATGTAGTCTATTTCTTCACGCAAAGTTGTTGGGCAAAGTTTGCATCAAGTGCTTACCGACGCAATTCTGTTAAAAGTGGTTAAGTTAAGAGTACGTATTAAGAATCAACTCCGCAAACTGTTCCCCTATGCCGCTCTAAGCGTTGGCCCGGGCACCGTGATGCGGCCGCGGGGCTCAGAGGCTCTCCTGCCGTGCATGTTGTGCGATAAAATACCTCCGTTAAAACTATTCCCTACTACTTTATAACCCAGCGGTTATGTAAGAGTAAGTTACTAATGCGCCTATTTGATATTAATTCCTCTATATGTATTTCGCCGTTTGTTTTACTGTGAGCAATGAATTATCTTTCTACAATCTTAGTGTACCCAATTTAAACTCATAGTCTGCAGTTACAGCATCGAGTTGTTATTATACAAAATTAAGTGCAAACTATATTTTTCATGCTTATGCAACGCTATAGATGCAAATCCATGTTGGAATCTGCAGGAGAGTTAACGTTAGCTCTCAGTAGAAAGTCACGGAGGTGACTTCAGTTAAGGTGCATTCAGGCGCAATTCAGTAAAATTGTGTATTGGGCGAGGAGGCATGTATAACGTCAGCAAGATGTGTTCAATGTAGAACAGTAAAATGCAGTCTTTAGCGAGAAATATCAATAAATACAGTTTTATTAAGGAGATGTTTTACTACAACATAAAGTAGATATTAGACAGTATGCAAACGAGATAAAGGAGTGTATATTGAAGTTATTAGGATCTGCTGTGTAGAGAATCATGGAATTGTACTGGTATCTAACAATACCATCCTTAATAAATGCCATCCTTATAAATGTATATAAATACAATACCGTTTTAAATGATACTTGTGTTTTAATGTTTGATTCCATTAATTAATTAAATATGTTTTGATGAATTCTACTGAAATGATTGTTACATTGTCATCATGTAACTATTTTGTTCTTTCATTTGCCTCACCAGAAAACAGTCACACCTCCTCTTGCCTCCTGCTATGGACTTCAGGTTCACATTAGGTAAGCCCTTGAGTGTGTCAGACTAGTTGTTGTTTCAGAGGTTAATTCAAGACGTGTTATGTTTGCATACCAATATAATGAGCATCAGGTAAACGTACCCATTTCTATTTTTTTAATCACAGATGGGATACCACTCAAAGTGATATTTTAAAACATTATCGACTCCATCATGGAAACCTTTGGACAGAAACGTGCCTTGCCCTGCATTCATGTAGACTGGCCTGCGCTCTCACTTATCAAGATAAAAGTTGAAATAATCGTCTGTTCTTTTTATTCTAGGACCCATGTGCCACTTTCAGGGTGCGTACGGGTGCTGGAAATCCTTGAAAATGCTTGAAATTGTACGAGGTGTTTTCAAGGTTTGAAAAGTGCTTGAATTTTGGGAATGGTGCTTGAATTTGGGATAAAGTGCTTGAAATTGTAAATGCTTTACTTCGCTTTTTAGATTAAAAGAAAATAAAGAAGTCGGAGCGCGCTTAATTGCTTCGCTTTTACATAAAACAGCTCCGCTCCGGCCTTCCCGCGCAATGCGCGTGACCGGCAAGTGTTTTTGTTACGTGTGTGACCTGGGCATTCTGATGAGTGATAGATGACAGTATGCCAGGAGGTTGCCATTTCAACGAGCGTTGGCTAGCAGAAGACAAATACAAGCCATGGCTAAGACGAGGGTCAAGCGAAGCCCAAGAGTAGCCTCCTGCAAAGTGTACAACAATAACGATGCGAGAGTCTGCGCTGACGAGCCACACCACACGAAAGGTACGCCATAGTAGAGCATTTTAGATTAGGCTATCGTTGCATGTAAAATACATGACACTTTTCTCTGTGCGCGGCAAAACAAGCTCGCCAAAATGGCTTCACTAGTCTGGCAGTATTTTAAGTGTCCGAAAATGACAATAAAATAGCGGTATGCAACGTGTGTGTGAAGCAGAAATCCTGCAGCTCCACCCGCTGTGACGGACCGGTGAGCGGAGCAGAACACACATTAAGAGTTAGACCTAACACACTTAGCTATTTTATCTACCTCTGGAACAAGCTAAACTAGTTATAAATATATTTATTTTTCACTGTCGGGTCGCTCATTACTGGATCAGTGAGCTGCAGGAGATACTGACAGGCTGTCAGGGGAGAGAGAGAGGGGGAGAGAGGAAAAGAGAGCGGTATCGGCCGATACTGATTCCGGCGATCGGCTCCAAAATTGGCGATTGGAGCATCCCTAATAATTGTATACGATATGTTTTATAATGATTGATCATGAAAGTGTTATCAAAGCTGGTAAAGTTGCAGCTAGTTTGAATGACTTTGTATACTGCAGGGTAGCTTGTGGATTTACTCCAGGTGGAACTAAAGTCTGATTTAACACTTGATTATATTTCACATCATTCATCCACATCTGTGAAGTAACTAAAGGGATTATATACATGCAGTGGAGGAAAAGTACACCATGTACCTCTGAACTGTAGTGGAGTAGAAGTACACCGTGTACCTCTGAACTGTAGTGGAGTAGAAGTACACCGTGTAACTCTGAACTGTAGTGGAGTACAAGTACACCATGTACCTCTGAACTGTAGTGGAGTAGAAGTACACCATGTACCTCTGAACTGTAGTGGAGTAGAAGTACACCATGTACCTCTGAACTGTAGTGGAGTAGAAGTACACCATGTACCTCTGAACTGTAGTGGAGTAGAAGTACACCATGTACCTCTGAACTGTAGTGGAGTAGAAGTACACCATGTACCTCTGAACTGTAGTGGAGTAGAAGTACACCATGTACCTCTGAACTGTAGTGGAGTAGAAGTACACCATGTACCTCTGACTTGTGTTTACTGCCAACCTAAAAGTACCTCAAAAATAGTAATCAATAATGTATTGAAAAGTTATTTGGCTGATTGTTTTATATTGGCTCAGCCAGGTTATATGGGATGCCCAGTCTACGTACAGATGGGTCACTCATTTTGAAATATTAAACTTAGTTTTCTTTTCTAACATTTTTAATTTGTCATCCTCATGTAGAATGCTATTATGAAACACACATTTGGTTGTTTATAGCATAAAGAACATCTGATTTAATGTGAGGTAGGGAAATAATCATTTGAGTATAAGTATGTGTATATAAATATGTCATTTACAACAGCTGTAAGATGCTTGAAAAGCTTGAAAATGCACCTTGAAAATGCTTGAAAAGTGCTTGAATTTGACTTTGGAAAAGGTGTAAGAACCCTGATATAGGTTCCGGCAACTCAATTGTGTTTTATAATTTACTTTATTCTCGTGTGGTTCTTAGCAGATTGTTATTTGCATTGGTTACACTTAATATCTGGGCTTTTAATTGTAGGCTCATCTCATCTTTTCATATGCAGAAAAAATCACATTAGTGAGTTTACCCAACTCCTATAATTGCTTGGAATCGCTTGACACATATTTTTTAAGTTTTAGCAAAGTAACACATTCTTGAGTAGAGGAAAACTAAAGAAAGTACATTTCACCAACTCAAAAAATGCAAAAGTTGACTAAACTCTTAAAATTGCTTGGAATCACTTGACACATATTTTTTAAGTTTTACCAAAGCAACAGTTTTTACAGTGTGGGGCCCACCTTGCGGGCGGGCGTGGACTACAAGTGTTTCAGTGCTGCGCGGGTGCGCAGGGGGATTACCCAATAGCGATAGCTTTAGAGGGCGAAGCCATATACGAAATAGAACACAATCAGACAATCAAACAGGAGGGAAAACACAGAGACAGGAAGCAAATACAGACATGAGAGAGGAGGGGAACACCTTTCAAAGTAAAACAGGAAACTGACAGACTGACTACTCAAAAATAAAACAGAAAATAAACCGATCAGGACATATAATAGGCCCAGCATATCATTAGCAGGTGCTAATGAATCATTCCAGGGTTGAAGAAATCTCAAAGCGGTAGGATTGTAGCTCTGAAGAAACAAAGTGTTTAGATTAAACATAGTTTGGAAATAATAATGATTATTGCATTTCTTATTTGACTGTTACAATATATGGAAAGCAAAAATCGAATTATGTTAGAAGTCCTCCAAGACAACATAACACGACCTACTATATTAAGAGACAGATTCAAGGCTGTATGTGCAATATGTTGTTTCAGAAACATCTTGTGACAGTTATTGATATATTGTAAAATAAAAGAACGTCAATAAAGTGAAGGATAGTGTGGTTACGTTCTTTAATTTATGAAGAAAAGTCAATTTCCCCATATTTTGTTCTACAAAGCAATATAAAGTGCATTCAGACTTCTCTGTTTTATTTAATATTTCAGCCTTTATGCATACTGCAAAGGAACCCTTTACTGTGCATTGCTGTTTTTTCCTAATTATTTATTTGCTTTTACATTTTTTATCGGAAGTTAAGATAATTTATATCGTAGTTGATCAGACCGACTCAAAGATGAAATTATTGAGAGTGAATTATTTATTTATTTGTTATTCTTCCAAACAGGCTGGACCAAAGAGTGCCTGCAGGACTGGGGCTCATACATGTACTTGGCCATCCCCAGCATGGTCATGACGTGTGTTGTGTGGTGGTCGTATGAGATTGGAATCCTTTTGGCAGGTAATGGCCACTTTGTGGTTTAAAGCATTTGTGTGAACTAAAGTTAGTAAGAAATCTAACGGCTGTTTGTCATTAACAGGTCTAATAAGTGAGGTGGAGCTTGGGGCTCAATCAATTGTGTACCAACTGGCAAATATTGCATTTATGGTAATCTGTCCTCTAAAAATGACTGAATCTGCATAAACGGTTATGGTGTCAAATGAATGACCAATTTCTACACGCAGTGTCACAGCATTTTAACGTAGTATTTTTGTTATTAGTTCCCTTCGGGTTTCAGTATAGCTGGCAATGTAAGAGTTGGACAAGCGCTGGGAGGCGGAGACACAGAGCAGGCTAAGCTGTCTGCTAAACTGACAATATTCTGTGCAGGTCAGTATGCTCTTCAAAACTATTAATGTGGTTTATAATATCTTATACAAATGTATTTTAAGTCAAGATAATTCTAGAATAATTTATATTTAGAACTGTTATTTCACTAAAGAAATACTACAAGGTTGTCTTTGACCTGGAATAGCATGCCTTGAGCCAAAACGTTTTCAAATGGCTAGCAGAGCTAATTATTGTCACAAGATTCTCAGTATATTTACAGAAAATAAACTTTCTTTAAAATGATGAAACCTGTGGAAAATAAGGTCTGTTACTCTTTAACACAGGGTCCATGTCTATATGTTGGTCAATTCTCCTTGGCAGCCTGAAGGGCCAGATGTCATATGTCTTTTCAGATGATGAGTGAGTAAAAAAAAAAAAAACCCTTTGCAACCACAACCATATTCTTTACTTTTGTTTAAAAAATAACACAGGGGCTGTTGTGTTAACAAACACAGAGTAAACTTTTGTCTGAGGGAGATAATCGGTCTCCTAAATGACCTTTCACTATTACAGTGAACTTTGCCTAGATATTCCTTTAAATATTAACTTGAAGTAAATGTTTTGCTCATTATCACTGTGACTGTGACACCACAACTGAATTGAAAGGTTTAAAATAGTTCTTTTTATGTTATCGTACTTTAAATTGTACTTTGCTTGAGTATTTGCATGTAATGCTACTTATGCTTTTACTCTACTACATTTCAGAGGCAAATATTGTACTTTTTACACTACATTACTAGATGTATTAAACTCTCCTAGCTACTTTGCACAAATGAAAACACATGATACAACATGTGTATTTTTAATTAAAAAAAAAGGTGTCTAAAATTGGCTCCACTTTGCCAAACTACATTATTAATATGATTTGACATTTATAAGAATAATATTATTCTACAACACTGTAAAAGAGAGCCATGCTGTGTACTGAATACTTTTACCTTTAAAACACAAAGTACATTTTAATAATAATATATACTTCATTTCAGGATTTTTACTGAGAACTATTTCCACCACTGCATATTAACTATGTCTCTTTACAGAGAACATTTTTGGATATCTCTTCTTATGAAAGCCAGTTTAAAAAAATCATTATTCACCATCTTTAAGAATAAAATGTTAAATCAGGCTATTCATTATATATGTAGAAACCCCTCTTTAAAAATCTTCAGAATATAAGTACAAATGAAGCTGGAAAGCTTGTTGTATGTACAGCTACTGAAGTAGAGATTTATGGCTCAGATTCTAGAAAAAAAACATTTTGAGGAAACTGATTTTAAGGAAATGTTATACATTTGGCAAAATACTACATTAGAATAAGGGTTCAAATTGTATCTAAAATATATTCAACTTCCCCAGTGGATTGAATCCAATCTCATGTCATTTTTACCTCCCACACACTGAACATTTGAGTCTCACTTCTTTCAGACAAATCCGGCAAAGGGTTACTGATGTTTTGTCTATATATGCTCCATTCATGATCCTAGATGCACTATCAGTAAGTATTACGGAAATGTCATGCAAACAATATCTTATGATAAACCTATAGATTGCCTTTGCAAAATACCAGGTGCTTTCTTTCCTGTCTCACCATCTCTTCATTCTGTGTGCGTGGCTAGGCTTCCTTGGGAGGCATTATAAGAGGAGCAGGTAAACAGAAGATTGGAGCCATTTGTAACATTTTGGGATTTTATGGTGTCGGTTTTCCCATTGGTGTGCCACTGATGTTTGCAGCCAAATTGGGAATCATTGGTAAGATGTACAGCATGTTTTTGAGCTTTCAGCTTTTTGTTGCCACAATGATGCTAACTGGTTCTTTTAAAGTTTTTAAACCGGTGTCTTTTAAGTATGAGAAATGCTTTATTCCCTCAGGACTATGGATAGGCCTTCTTACCGGTGTGTTTCTGCAGGTCATATTCCTATCTTCTTATTTGTTAAGAATGAACTGGAATAAAACTACAACAGAGGTAAGGAATTAAGAGTCTTCACATTCAGAGTCTAATAAATCTTCACATTGTAAAAGGTCTTTATGAATAAACATTCATACATTGTTTTCTTGCAGGCTCAAATCAGAGCAGGAGTGGTTGGGAGCTCTACAGACACAAGTAAGACTCCACAAAACACTGCTAGAGTCTCCCTGTCTACTGTTCTTGAAATGGCTTGAGAAAAATGTTGAAACATGCTTAAAGTGACAGGTGCAGGGGACATCTTCAACAATATACCTATATACATAGTATTTATATAGTTTAGGTCATTTATCAATGCTTCATATATGACTTTAACTATTTAACAATTGTTAAATAGAGTCAGCCCTATATAGATCATTAATGTTCAGCAATTAGCTGTGAAAAGAAGAATCTCATTTATTAAACATGCTGCTGTCATCTCAATAGAAGTTACTGTAACGCAGGGGTGTCCAAACTTTTTTCACCGAGGGCCACAAACAGAAAAATATACGAAGGGCTGGGCCACTCACTCGACTATATTGCCTCATAAGTTCAGTTATAAGTTAGCAAAATCAATCAAATGTAGGTAAATGATGCTTGTGAGTGTTGGCAGCTCATCCCTTAAAACAGAAGCCTCAGAGTGATTATAATAAGGAGAAATAGGAAGGGTGTATTTCAAGCTTGTTATGTAAATAAGTCACTGGGCTTTTTTCTTAACAACTAAGATATGTTAGAAAATGTTTCCAACTTTAATTGACTGAATGTATTTAAAAAGTGGTCTTATGAACACATGAATACTACTGTGTAATTTATTTTTACATTTATATTTCAGAAGTACAATATAAGACAAGCACAAGTTTAATTTGTGGGCCATATTTCATTATACTTTTTTAATTTGCTGAGGGCCGATTCAAAATGGTCCGCAGGCCGCATTTGGCCCCCGCTCCGTAGTTTGGACACCCCTGCTGTAACGTATTAAACTAAGTTAGGAATCAATAAAAACTAGAATCGTGCATCAAATGTTAACGCAAAATAGGAAGAGTTGAACGTAAAACAAATATTTTACAAAAATGTCAGATGAAATATTTTTCTAAGTTAGAAAGTTTATATATGTTTATATGTTGTATGTCCAGGTCCACAACCAGAGGATCCAGGGGACTCACAGGACAGTGCAGGAACAGACACCGTGGAGCTGGAGGACCGCGAGGCGGGGGGGCCCGCAGTGAGTCCGGGGGAGGAGGAGCTGTCTCTCAGAAGTCTGCTTCTGCGCAGAGGCCTGGTTCTGGCTGTCATGCTATTCATCCTGGCTGCTGGAATCATTATTAACCTGCTGATCAATAACTTGGTTACATGATTGTGAGCAAAGTCAATTCTATTCAGCAACTCGAAGTATTCGAGGTAACCCCTAAGGCACTGCTGCACCGTCTGATGCGGATGTTTGTACTGTATCGCACGATGCCAAAGAAGGACATGCAGAAGACAGTCACAGGTGCAGGCGGGCAGAAAGTAATGAATTAATCTCCTTAAGCAATACATAACTCTTGAGTCATTATTTTACTAGATGACCCTTTGCATCTGCTACGGTCATTAGTGAATCCTCTCACAAACACATTCTGTCAAAGAAATTAAGTCAAACTACAGACATTGCCAAAACATTTGTATTTAATAAATAAAGTTTTGTGGTATTCTTGGAATCAACATTTTATTTGGACTTTTGGAAACACAAGTGCAGATGTAACATAAATATGTAATTATCCATTAATAAATTAATTGCGTAATGGAAAATATTATTTCATCCATTGCCAATAATTCATAATATTTTATGACATTGAGTGGGAACAATGATTTAGTGATTAATGATCTTATGGTTATCCTTCTATTGGGACCAGTGCAGTGGAGAACGTTTCATCAGGGGTATATGTCGTATTGGTCCAGTCCAAAGTAAAGTTGGCCTCTGAATGCAGCATCTCTGGCAAAGGCACCAGGAAGTGCACGCTTGCTCCCACAGCCAGAAGTGAAACTGCCGCAAACATAACGGGGCCTCGTCTGAGGATCAGCTGTGTAGTGGAGAGACGGCCTCCCTTCAGCTGCTGGACCACATGTCCCCTCTCTGTCTCTGTGTTCCCGTTATGGCAACCGGAGCTCACAGACATGTAGCCGTCCACTGACTTTGGAGAAAGACAGTGCCCGTTATTTTACTTGGTTGAGTCATATAGATGGCGAGCGGTGTCAAACTAGCCAAAGATAGCAAATATGTCAATTGATAACAAGAGGAAGCAGGCTTTGAAAATAAATATAGATTAATTGTTGGGTTTGGCCACTTACATTCCCATTACTCGCTCTCTGGTAATCAGTGTTGTCACCCGCAGTGTCTGACAGGGCATCTGTGCTTAATAAAGTCATGGGAGTGTTTTTCTGTGCTCGCTCCACAGCCTGCAAACAAATACAAACAACAACTTTACATTTCTCAAAATCTTACAATAGGTTTTAAATGCAAAATGTGTAAGTATAAGTCCAAATCATGAGACGCTGCTGAACGTGCCTCCTCTGTAATTGTCTTCCAGTTGAGCTTGAAGATGACAATGGTGTAGAAGGTGGATAATACAATGACACACATGAGTAGTCCCAGCCAAAAACCTGCAAAGAAAAATGTGTCTTTTATGGGAAGAGAAGGTTTCAAGTGAATGTTTTTTTAGTAAGTAAAAGGTCACTTCATGTAATTACCAATTATTCCCATTTTTGCAACAAAGGTCAAAGTAACGCCGATTGGAAGTGCTATGCCGTAGTATCCAAGGAAGTTGGCCACAGCAGGAATCTTCTGTTTGCCTGTTCCCAAGAAGATGCCTGTGCACACACACTAGGATGTAAATACATATCTCAAATCATTAAGCAGTCTCTCCATTGGCCGATATATTGTATTTTCGGGATAGCTAAAATAAATTATATTTGCCTGGTTATGCTCGCACAATGCAAATATAATCTGGTAATATACTATGTATGCTTACAGTAACTAACAAAAAATGGTCGACTCACCACAATACCATCAAAGAACTGAAGGAAACAGTAAGCATTTATCAAGTGCGAAACCAGACCTATGATCTTCCTGAAAAAAGTTTTTATAATTAACATCTATTTTTCTTGTTCAATATTTGTATGTAGCAATAGCAGTATAAAAATCGTAGTTTTACAGTTATTGAATAGTGAGTGCAGTTCTCACTCATCAGAGGTAGCCAATCACTGTTTTAGTAGAGCCGAGCACAACACCTTCCACAACTGCGATGCTTGCTGGAAAAGAGCGGCAGTGAAATCTGTCAAATGTAAAATGTTCAAGAAATGAAATTACAGATTAACAACATTTTTATAACTGACCTGCAAGAGCGAAAGAGATCTTGCTGGTGAGGAGGGCCCTGACAGTGTCTCCCGCACCGAGGGCATTTCCCACTCGGGCGCATGCTGCAGCTTGAATACCTAGAGGGAACTATGGATTTATTTTTTTTAAAGAAAAAGTATTAAAAAGAGTCGGCTCTTTAGAGTCTTTGGAAGTACGCTGACTCAAATTGAACATTCCTTGAGATCAAATATGTTTACAGAAAGTTTAAAAGTAAGAATATAATGCTCTGAGTTGTGGTTAGTACCATGTAGGTGATGAAAGCCACCATTATCACAGCATGTTGGGCTGCCAGCTGGTCTTCACCCAGCATTCCTGATTATCAGAGACAAGAATCACAATTTAAGAATTTAATCTAGTTTCATAAAATCAAATGTCTTACTAATATATATTAGTTGTGTTACCTGCAAAGAATACACCAAACTCATAAAGCCACCACTCAAAGCACTTCATCATTGTACTGGGAACGGCCAGTTTCATGTAGGAGCCCCAGTGCTGCAGCGATTCTACAGACCAGCCTGCAGGGGGAGAGAGACTTAGTTGTGAACAGGGAAAAAACTTGGAAGATCAACAAATTGTTCCATGAGAACGTAAGGTCACCACAACTATCTTCCAAATATAACTGTCCCTCACCTCCCCATGTTTTTACATGGAGCTTCTTCCAGCGAATGTAAGCAAACAGAAATACACAGATGTAAATCTGAGACAGAGCATTGGCTGCTGCAGATCCGCTGTAAGACATGCACACAGACAGGGTGATATCAGTGTGTTATAGTTGAAATCAGATTCAAACTGAAATATGTGAGGACACTTACCTTACACCCAAATCCAACCAGTATATTAAGATGTAGTTTGTCACCAAGTTTGCTATGTTTGCCATAGCAGCAGCGTACATTTGTGGCAGTATTATACCCTGAGTACACAAACAGCAGATGATGCAATGAGGACCACTTATTGAATCATATTGAAAAAAAATTACTACGGTTTTATAAACTGAAACATGATACAGGGTTTAGAACATAAATGCACCTGGTTCTGCAGGTAAGACACTTGAAGAAGTTGTAGAAATATTGCCTACAGAGAAACATGATGTCATTAAGTTGGTTCTTATTTATTTTACAGCTTATGGAGCTGAAAAAACTGAAAAATAATGGAAACGTGTGTAATATTCAGCTGAAAGGTTAGAGAAAAGGTAAGACTCACTGGTACTGCAGGAAGGAAGCTTGTAATATACACTTGGGCTATTCTGAAATCAAGATATTTTAATTAAAAAACAAACAGGCACTTATCAATCAATTACACTGATCAATATCATTCAATCTAATTGATATCATGCCACCATTAGGATGATAGTGTTATCCTGTTTCCTTGTTGCCAAAGATAAATAATACAGCTTTAAAGAGACATTTTAAAACCTTTAAATAATTTGTGCAATTAAACTGTGATATATACTTTATACAATTGGTCATTTGTTTAACATTTGGAAAACTGATTCCAGTGAATGGGGGTTTAAACTTTTCCCCACCAATAGCAATAGTATCACTTCATGTTTGGTGCTGTTAGTTACCTGGTCACCTCAGGGCTCTGGCCCATGCACAATAGGATGGCCTGGGCATTAATGAGCAGACCCCAGCAGGGCAGACAGAACAACAGCAGGATGATGATGCCCCGCTGCAGGATCACTCCCACCCGACGCAGGTTCTTACCACCAAATGTCTGCAAACAGAACAGACCATGTTAAACATTTTAGAAAAGGGTGTTATAAACAGTTGGCGTCTGGAGGAAAATAATCATTGGGCAAACCTGAGACACCAAAGTATCACACGCCAGCCCCAGACCAGTTCCTGTTGCTGCAGTTGTGACATTAATGGTCTGAAATGAACATGAAACATACTGGAATGAGTCTTACACTTGAGGATTCTTATGTAACCAATATTATTATTATAAGTAGTAACTATAAAACATATTGATTAAATCATCAGGTTTGGAGAGGATTGTAAGATCTATATTTTGTTTATAGTTCTAAAATGTCAAATTTCTACCTTGAAATCAGACATTTCATTAAGTCTGTGGAGCATATAATTGACCACTTACAGCACACGCTAATCCATAGCCAGCCATCACTTCATTTCCCAGACGCCCACAGAACATTGTAACCACAAATGGCAACAGGTAATTGAGGATTCGAGAGAGCAGCTAGAAAGACAAACATCGACAATGGTTCACTTGATGCAGTTACTAGCTCACATTGTTTGAAAGCCATGCTTAAGCTTTTTTTTAAACTAAGAAACATTAGCTGTTTCCTTACATTTCAAACCAAAACTTAAATGAATCCTTACCAGAGGCCCTATCATCCTCAGGATGTGGTACAGTTCCTCTCTGTGGGCCAGAGGAACCTTGTAGCGCACCCACCTGCAGCAGAACAGCTTGTCACTGGACGCCTCCATGTCTGCACGGCTGGACATTAATGCACGTTTTTCCACCACAGCGTTGGTCTTTTCTGTTGAAGACTTGTCTTGATGCTCTCCAGGGACAGAATTCATCAATGTTGTACAAAGTATTTCAAAACCTTTAAATAGTAACTCATTAGGTTGCTTGAGGTTGGTTTCACGAATGCACGTGTTGGTTAGACATGGCAACATATAAGGCAAAAAGAAAATAATTACAATTCTTATAAAGAGTTCCTTTTATGACCCACAAGGCACAACTCCACAAGGTGAATCAGGGACGCACATAAATGACATACACAATTATATCTCAAATGAAAATGCAGTCAGAATGTCCTTTTGTGTTTCATTCCATTCTCTGAGTGAATGATTACATGGTCACAGATGCACTTGTGGGAAGCATATTAAATAACCATAATCTGCCTTTGTTCTACCTCGGTGTTGTCAAATATGATATGTGAACAGACAGAAGGTGTGAGAGCCTGCATATTCAAGAGCCTCCCTTGCATATAAATGACTGGCACAGGTTTAATTTGAAGAAGCAAAATCCGGCCAATCCGTCTCCATCAAATCAGGTTGACATGTTCATTAAAGTGGGGATATAAAACATTAACACGTCATACTGTATGGTTATGCATCCTACTGGAGCGCAGTAAAGGTTAACCATTCAGAGCTCTGGCTCAATCTGAAATGAGATGCAACCCACTGCTGATATCAGGCACAACAAAACATTCAACTAGCCTTCTGTGGCAGAGTGATAGCATGTGTCAGTGGAGGTAGAATTCTTATTTTCTAGAAAACATGTTTGCACTTGACTGTTGTGCTTCAAATAAGTGTGTGGAAATAAGATTACAGTTTTTTTTTTTGGATTATAATTCAGGCTTTCTAAAAGTGCTCTCTTACAAATAATCGACTGTGGTCAAAATATAATGATGCTCTAAAGTGTAGGGGATTCTGCTTTTGGTGATTCAGCTTTCGTGCTGGTTTGATGAGTCTCTGTGGTGCATCCCTGATTTCCATACACAACTTTAGGATGAAACATTCCATCCTTGGTATACAGTGTTACAAGAAGACTCAGACCAAGTGTTTAGGTCACACTGGAGATTGTCTATTCAACTTTGTGAGAGCAGAAATTGATGATTTAGATTTTAAATGTATGATCACACTTTTCCAAAACATTTAGTTGTTGGCATAATGATGGTGCAAAAATAATAATGATGTGTGAAACAATGCAAAAGTTGAGTGACTTCTGGCTGTTAATGCATCTCTGCTAACAGGGAAGCCTAACGTGACATTGCTGTTCCCTGCGCGTTGTCTGTGAGGCCCCCCTCAGTGTGACACCCCACAGCCTCCTGGGCTTTACGTTGGCTGAATCAATCAGCCTGTTGCAATGACAGATACCATGTGCTGCAGCACCAGTGATTTTTATCTGTCACTTGCTATTTTCCGTAACACTGCTCTTGCCTTTGTGTTTTCTAAGTCCATCGGATGGCACCTCATATCTCTGCTTCCCTCTCTTAGCCTCACCTTCTCACTCTCACTATTCTTTCTCCGAGTTGTTTTCTTGTATACTTTTTAATCTTTTGATGTTCATTTATATCTTGATATGATATATTGTTCATTGATGCTCTGTGGGATATGTGTGTCAGAAAGTATTTCAATTTGAATGAGTCGACCCAGTAAAAACTACAACAACAATACCATATCATCTAAATATTCTTGACATATGTTTAGATAAGTACAGTTATAATTTTGGCTTTAGACCCAAATGTGTCTAAAGGATGAAGTTTAGGATACAATGAAACAAAATGTGTTCATTGGTTTAAAGAAGTGATGAAATGAGTTTTGTTTACATGCATGCTTCTTATAAAAATACGAAAATACATTAGCATCTGTTAAGGCAGTGGTTCCCAAACGGTGCACAGTCTTCTCAGGTTTCGCTATGAGTGGTCGCATTTTCGAGAGCTCCCGCTTTGGAGGTTATTCCTCACGATTTTTTACATATTTCATCCTCCTGACAATATGGATTATGGACTCCTACCTCAACTCATCAATGAGGCAACATCACTTAGAGAAGGAGAGTAGTGAAAGCAGGGATAAAATGAACCACAATGACTTTTACCTTCTCAACGGCTGGGAAAGGAAACACCTCGCTTTTGGAAGTGCAAGCATTCATGCATTATTAACTGCAAACCCGACGCGAAAGTACTTACCCCCGTCAGGCAAACTAGACCGAAGAAGTATGATCGTCTTGGTCTTATTGTTAGCGGGAGACATCCATCTGAATCCGGGCCCGGTGCAGACAAGAAGCCATTCCTGCAGGCTCGAGGAGCTAGCATCACAACTAGCATCACAACTAGCATCTCTTCCGCTACAGCAACAACTACGCGACGACAACAGAGACCATGGAGACAGCGGAGACCGAGGAATCAACGGAGACTTCGACATTCCCCCGGGGACGCCTCGGCAGACAGACACGCATGAGGCAGTGACGAGAGGAAGAGAACCGAGATCCGAGGGAACAAATATCCACCATGTTGTTAGCCACCCTGCTAGCATATCGACGGCTAAAGCTACAACGGAGCCTCCCTCCCCCCACCACCCCACCGCTCCAAGCACCACGGCAGGCCGCAAGCCGTTTGCTGTAACGGACAAAGACAAATATCTGCAAGCTGACGACATTATGCATTTAAACAACAAAAATGGACTACATATTTTTCATCTGAACACTAACAGCCTGAGACACAAACTGGCTGAACTCAGGCAACTGTTCATGAACGGTAAGGCAAGCATATTATGCTTTTCTGAGACCAAATTGGACAATTCCATTACAGATTCAGAGATTGAAATTGAAGATTATCTTGTAGTGAGAAGGGACAGGAACGTGAATGGAGGTGGTGTCTGCATGTACATACATAAAGACACCAATTTCAAAAACCGTACTGACCTGCATCATGAAAATATTGAATCTGTGTGGGTTGAAATTCTTTTTGACAATGCTAAATCTGTAATAGTCGGGACAATCTATAGACCACCGGAACAGAGTGACTTTTATGATACATTAGATGGGTGTTTGGCTGATGTGGGGGATGTAGAGACAATTATTATTGGAGACTGGAACACGGATATGCAACGTAAAGACACGTCCGTCTTCAAGTCCTTCAGTAGGATTTGTGATCTGCACGGCTTCAGCCAGCTAATCACCCAACCCACCCGGGTATGTGAAACAACACAAACTACCATTGATCTCATTCTGACCTCTGACAGGTCCAGGATCTCCAGTAAAGGGGTTATAGCATGCGGTTTAAGTGATCATTATATGATATTCTGTACCCGCAAAAAGCTAAAACAAAAGGCCGGCTGTCACAAAACAGTCATATCTAGAGACCTCAAAAACTACTCTAGCGAGGCCTTTAACCTAGAACTGGAGAGCCTGGACTGGTCAGATGAGCTCAGTGGTACACAAGTTGAAGAAACATGGCTTGGTTTCAAAAACAAATTCTCTGCAATACTCAATGATTTGGCCCCCCTAAGAACAACCAGGGTAAAAAATCGCGCTGAGCCGTGGATGCACTCCGGCATACTGACCGCCATGAAAACCAGAGACAAAAAATGCTCTGAGTTTCATAAAAGTCAGTCAATGCTTTCCAAAAGCACGAGCAGTGAACTCCAGGCCCACGTGACTGAACTAAAAATTGAAAGAAACAGACTAAGAAATGACGTAAGCTCCATGATCAAAACTGCCAAAAAGAATTTCATCAATGACAAAACTGAGGAAAACAAAAATAAACCCCGTGAACTTTGGAAATTACTCAATAACCAGCTTGGCTGCAGTAAAAAACTCAAAACGAGATTTTCAAACTTAAACATAAAGACAGATAACAGGCTCATCACAGACAAACTGGATGTGGCCAAGTACTTGAACATTTTTTTCACAAACATAGCCACAACTCTTGTAAATAAATTACCCTCCCACTCAGGGCTTTTTGGAGTAGATCACATCATGACCTACTACAAAAACCTAGGGGTACGCAAAGATGATTTCAGTCTAGCAAGGGTAACAACAGCAGAGGTACTCATTAAACTGAGCGCCCTCAAACCTAACAAGGCCACTGGCCACGACAATATCCCCTCCAAATTCCTCAGAGACACAGCAACCGCCATCTCACCAGTCATAGCTCACATAATTAACCTCTCCATAAAACAGGGAAAAGTACCCAAAGACTTCAAAATTGCAAGAGTAACCCCCCTGCACAAAAAGGGCAGCAAATTGGACCCAGGCAACTACCGCCCTGTTTCTATACTTACCTCCATCTCGAAAGTCATGGAAAAAATAGTATATGAACAGGTCGAAAAGTACCTCGCAGAAAAGAAACTAATCTATGAATTTCAATCTGGCTTTAGAACATCCCACTCCACTGACACATGCCTTCTTTATTTGAACGACCACATCAAACAAGAGGTGGACGAGGGTAAATACTGCGGCATGGTGATGCTGGACCTACAAAAGGCTTTCGACACTGTCAATCACCCCATTCTGATTGACAAGCTAAAAGCAATTGGTTTTGATAAACTATCGGTGAGCTGGATGCAATCCTACCTGGAGGGGAGAGAACAGATGGTGGAGGTAAACGGTACTCTGTCCCCCCCCCTCCCAGTGAGCTGTGGTGTTCCACAAGGAAGCATATTAGGTCCGTTACTGTTCCTAATTTATGCAAATGACATGTCATCAGCATGTGACTGCAACTTGTTCCTGTTCGCGGACGACTCAGCCCTGCTGGTCTCTGACAGGAGCAGATTGCAGGTTGAAAAAACCCTCAGCTCCGAGCTCGGCAGAATCTGCACCTGGCTCGCCGATAATAAATTATCATTACACCTGGGTAAAACAGAGTCCATTCTCTTCGGTTCGAAACATAATCTCAGCAAATCCGACGACTTCTCAGTTGCAGTGGGTGACATTATTGTCACAAGTAAGAAGGAAATTACATACCTAGGATCTATTCTTGAGGCAAACCTCTCCTGTGACAAAATGGCATCCAATGTAATAAAAAAAGTCAATCAAA